GTTTCACCTGACACATCCGCGCAACTCTGGCCTCTCAGTTGTCGCGCTGGAGGTGCTTCCTCGTCGCCATCGTCGTCGTCGTCGGCGTCGTCGTCGGCGTCGTCGTTGACATCGTGCCCGTCGTCGTCGTCTCCGTTGTCGTCGTCGTCGTCGTCGTCGTCGTCGTCGTCGTCGTCGTCGTTTTCGTCGTCGTCATCACCACCGCTGTCCTCGTCGTCGCCGCCGCCGCCGAAGCCGCCGCTCTCGCCGCCGTCGTCGCCATTGTCTTGGGCATGGTCGTCGTCGTTGTCGTCGTTGCCGGCGCCGCCAACGCCGCCGGCGCTGTCGTCGTCGTCGTTGTCGTCATTGACATCATCGCGGCACGCGCCGCTTTCACCCTGGTGGTCGTGACAACCGTCGCCGCCGCCGTTTCCGACGATGGCGTCGTCGTCGTTGCGTAGTCCTTCTCCTCATCTTCTGCCTCGCCCCCGCCCTCCCCGTTGCCTTTTCATTATCTTGCCCCTGCCTTTCCCCCCCGTCGCCGGACCCCACATAAGGTTCACAGAAAGTCCACGTAGGAAATCGACGTCGCCCCCGTCGCCGCCGCAGCGGTGGTGATCGTCGTCGCTGTCGTCGTCGACATCGCCATCGTGGTCGCCGCGTTCGTCGTACCGGAGTCGGCATCGCCGTCACCGTCGCCGCTGCCACGGGGCGTTTCGTCGTCGCCGCCGTCGTCAACGCCGACGCCGCCAAAGACTCTACCAAGGGAGTTCTACAAGGGCGCAACGACAAAACCAGGGAATGCCCTTCAATGCTCTGCCTGCTCCTTGCGCGCGCTCGCCGCCGTCTTGGCGCCGCGGGAGCGCGTCGGCTGCCCCGCAGCGCGTGCGCTGGCTGCCCCCCGGCAGGAACATCATTTCGAATCCACGTGCCAACCACTCACCAAAACTGCTCGTCACAACCGTTCGTCAGGTCACGGGGGGATGCGCAGATTCCTTCGACGCCTATAAACAAAAAGAAGCAACAGGAAAACAACGAAGAGCTCTGAGTTACAAGGATGTCTCGGGCGAGTCGAAGATCACCACAGGTCAGGACATACATGGGCCCAGAGTTGCGACGATGTCCGAGGCGAAAAATGCCCCAAGCCAAAAGTTGCGAGGATGTCTCAGGCGAAACTGACAGGACCACCAATTGCGTGGCATCTCGGGGCTCACAGATGCTGCAAGAAAGAATGTCCGACCTCTTTCGCATGAGACGTCCTCGCAATTCTGAGCTCCCAAATGCCGTGACCTGAGGTCCAGCCCGTCTTGCCTAAAACACCCTCGTAACTCAGGGATCCTATGCCGTGACCTGAAATGGTCCAAGCCCTTTCGCCTGAAACATCCTCGCAACTCTGAACTCCCAGATGCCGCGCGAGCGTTGGTCCGGCCCGTTCGCCGGACGCATCCTTGCAACTCGAAGCTCTCAGATGCCGTGACCTGATTTGGTCCGGCCCGTTTCGCCTGAAACATCCTTGCAAGTCTGGCCGTGGCTGGCGCTCTGGCGAGAGTGCCATCCCAGAAAGGGGTGTGGCCGGCGCGCAGGCGACAGCACCATTCCTTCGACAGAACTGTTGCCAGCGCTCAGGCGACAGCGCACCACTCCCGATCAGGGATGTGGCCAGCGCTCAAGCGAGAGCAACATTCCGTCACAGGAGCATGGCTGGACTTCCAGGTGTAGGCCGCGCTGGCTGTCTTCCTCCTCTTACTGCTGCTCCTCCTTCTAGTCCTTCTCCCCCTAGCTCTTCCCAAACCTCCCCAGTCTTACCCCGTACTCCTCCTCCTCCTCCTCCTCCTCCTCCTTCCTCCTCCTCCCCTTCTTTTGCCTCCTTGTCTCCTCTGCCCGCTTCTCCTGCGCCCTCCTCCCCCTCCCTTCCTCCTCCTCCTTCTACCATTCCTTTGCCTCCTTGTCTCCTCTGCCTGCTTCCCCTCCTCCTCCTCCTCCTACCCCTCCTCCTCCTCCTCCTCCTTCTCCTCCTCCTCCTTCTCCTCGAAAGAGCGTCGACTCGGCTTGGGAACTGCGCGTGGCAGCCAAACTCTGAAAGTATGGGGGGGGAGTGGGAAGGAACGACGGGACGGAAGGGGAGAGACGGAAGGAGTGGAGGACACGGAGGGGAGAGAGGAGCTTTTTTCCTTCCAGTCGCGCGGGCGCGCGTCAAACTACTCGCGTCCAAAACCGCCCGTCGACGCGACAAACGCCAGCCAATTTGGCCGTGAAGAAGATTGCTTGCGCAGAGCAGGTACGGAGGTAGAGGTATGGATGTATGGAGGAATGGTGGTATGGATAAGAAGAGAGTACGGAGGAGTGGAAACTCAAAACTCTGAACGCATGTAGGTGCATGCAGCTATGGGCGCGCGCGGGCATGGATGAAGGGCCGCATGGATGCATGGAGTCTGAGAGTGTGGGACTATGGATATGTGGATGTATGGTGTTACATGGTCAAGGACATCTGGAGGCATGGAACTATATATACACATATATA